TATGGAATGTATACTGCAGTTATCATAAGTCAGTAGTTACAAAAAAGTTACCATACAGTCATTTTGAGATATGGTAGTTATTTCAGTATCTTTAAAATATAAATTAACTTCTAACTCTGCCCTTATATTATAATTGTTGACAAATGACTTTTTTATGACCTTGCTTCATAATGTCTTTATGAAGTTTAAATAATTTTAAGGCAAGATGTATTACAGTCTGCAGGAACAAAAATTACATTTGAAATTGTATATTGAACAGTTTACCAATATGACAATGTGTATACTACATTGACCATATTTTACTTAACATTCATAGAAAAAGTTTTCCATTTAGTATTAATCTTTTCTTAAACGGAACTGAAGACCGAACATATTGAAAGTTAGAGATTTAATGTGGCTTCAAAATTACTAGGATACCTAGTTTCCTTCTAAAATTATGCATTCTCTTATGTGAACTTCTCATGAACTACCAGATTGCTTATTTCTGGTAACTGAATTTTAAGCTCTACAAACTTTGATGACATAAGGTTGAGCTGACAGTTGCTTCTTCAAAAATAGTTAAGGCCATCCGCTTAAGACAGCCTGCTTGGAAAAACTTACTGTAATTGACTAAGGCAAGACTCATTGGATTTACAAGTATGCCCTCAGTTGCTACACTGATTTTACCTTTTTGGGGCATTTAATAGAATGAACAAATAGGAAACCTAAATTGTCATATATAGCCACATCTGATTTTTTTTTTTTTTAACTTTCTCTGAAAATATAGCTCCACATAGCTTATGCTTAAACACCATCAACAGTAATTGTGATTGTATGATTGTCAGCTAGAGGAGGAAATGTATCATTTTGTCATAAACAGTTTTAAAATGCCAAGGTACTGAGAGAAGGAATGCAAGCATGGCTTCGTATTTGCTAGAGCAGAGACATCCAGGCTGTATTATGGGGTTCTCTTCAGGCCTTGTGGAAATTTGGCAGGTCACATGATCCCAGCTCTTGCCTTTGTGTTCTACCTGAAAATCTAAATGAGAGATAGATAGAAAGTGTTTAATGCATTTCTAATATAGGATAGCCATAAAAGCAGCTGTTGCAGTTGCCCCAAGGATGTGATATGAGCATGAATGGAAGGGAGATGGAGTCTCTTAGGACCTGGTTCACAATCTAAAAAAGTTGTATATCTCCTGTGCTAGTAAACTGTTGCACTGAATATTCAATATACAAAAAAATACAATTGATCTGTGTTTATATTTAATATTTAATTAAAAAGTAAGCCTTTAAGCTTAGACTTAAGGCTTAAAAAAATCTCCTACAATAGATATTGGAAGTTTGCCATTTTGTTTATAGTAAATTATTTTCATTGGAAGAATTTCTATGTAAAGACAGCACATGACTCAGAATGTTAACAGTTACCCATGATAATTTAGTATTCTATTATTATTTTTGATATTTTATTTCATTTATGAATATCCATGCTAGAACGAAACGTCTTCTCATCGTGATTTTTCATATGATTACTCTGAGAATGTACATGCACAGCAAGAAATGAAGCAAGACGCTTAAGTATACCTCCAAGTAGTTTATTATAAATATGAGTGCAATGGGGACATTGATTGTCTTTGATTATGTCTAATGAAGGATGTTGTAATAATAGAGGCTTTATAGAAACTTAACAAATGTGCTTTCTTTGCAGCTAACAGACTGCAGTTATTTCACCAATTATCATCATTAGATTAAAAATTCCTTATGGGGTGCATTAAGTCATACAAGCATGTAAGGCTTCAACTTCAATTTCACTTCTGATTTAACCAGAGTATTTTGGAAAATAATGCATTGTGTGTGAATTGACTTTCTTCAATGTAGGGAGAGGCCTTTACCTATTCTGATTTGTGCTTTTACATATTGTGTGAACTATGCTATATAAAATTACATAATAGGATGTCCTTGCAGTACAGGCCTCCATAATTATGATTTCTTAATATTTATTACCATTTTGGCATTTTAAAATAACCCAGTGTTTCATAGAAATTAGCTCTTTAATAAAGTCAGAAGAGAAGGTCAGTCATATGTTTTAGTCAATGCAGAATGTTTGTTGGCTTTTCTAAATGAAAATTGATATCTGTTTATCTTTCCTTAAAGGTCAGGGCCTGAACTTTTAGCATACCAATTTAGGGGTTATTGCTGATATTCTAATACTGTTAAGGCCTCTGTATTACAGCCCCTCTTCAAACAAATTAAGATAGCAAAAGGTGTGACAGCTATCTTGTGGGGGTTTTTTATTTGTACATTGTACAAATGGATATACAGTAAATTTAAAGAAGAAATTAAATTTAAAAAAATCCTTTCAGATAATAAGGCCAGTCACATGCCACTCAGAATATTTGGCTAAATTTTGATCTCAGTTACACTAGCAAAAATACAGACTAACTCTTCATTGTATCAGCTCTACTAGATTTAAGGCAGTACAACTTAGCTGAAAAATCCCTCCCAACAGTTATGAATACAAAATATCATACTACAAAGAAAAATGATCCAGAATCCCTCTGCACATACTCGATAACCTACAACATTTTGCTTGGAAGTTGCTGAAGGACTGCTTTCAGTCAAGCATCACATCACTTGGCCAAATATACTGATCTTGAAACAATATGGAGTATCTCAAACCTGTTCTGGACTAGAAGCTTCAAAATGGCTTTCATATCACCTTAATGCAAAATTGAGGAGCTTATTCAAAATGAACTTCTTCAAAAAGAAGATTTTTATTTGCGCTGGAAAGAGGTTTTTATCTAGATAAAAATTCTTTTATGTAAAGTGACCATGAAAGCAACAGAAAACTCTAATTCTCATTTCTCAAAATACTCTCATGTTCACTGACTATTTTATATTAAGTACTGAGTTGTCCCTAAGTAGGGTCATAGACAGACTGCCCATTGGCAAGGCCCCAGGAAAAGGTGACATTCATAGAATCATAGAGAAATAGGGCTGAAAGTGATCTCCAAATGTCATTTAGTCCAGCCTACCCAAACCATCCTATACAATCCGTAATCTAAACTCTGCATAAGACTGCTGTCAACCCTGACACACCACAAGACTAACACCTGCATTGAACAAGTTGGGGACACGGGACTGAGCTGACAGCTCCAGGTAGGCCCTGCAGGAGGGGCCATGGCCACTCTGCCTGGCTTCGAGGTGCCCCCACAAAGCGCGGGGCCCAGGGCGGTCGCCCTGCTTCACCATGCCCTAGGGACAGCTCTGCATCCAGAAGATGATCTTCTTACAATAACAAATCCGAGAAAAATGCAGGGGTAGAGGTGACCTTTTTATATTGCCTTCATTTACCTGTCTGTAAGGCCTTTTACCTTGTCAGCAAAGAAGGCCTCTTCAAATTATTGGAAAATATTGGCTGTCCACCAGAACTTCTCTGCGTAATCTGCTCCTTCCATGATGAAATGCAAGGAACAGTCAGCTATGATGGATCAATATCTGAGGTTTTTGAGATTCAAAGCAAAGTCAAATAGGTCTGTGTCCTAGCCCCAACCCTGTTTGTGATTTTTTTTTTTTTTTTTTTTTTTTTATGTATGCTTTTGGGACCACCATTGAAGGAATTTTATCTACATACACACTCAGATGGAAAAGTATTTAGCCTCACATGCTTTAAAGTGAAGATTAAAATGCAAAAAGTTTTGAGTTGTGAGGGGCTGTCTGCTGGTGACACTCCACTGATAGCCCACATAGAGAGTGACCTTCAAAGCCTCATCAGTCACTTTGTTCAAGCCTGGCAAGAGTTTACCCTTAAAATCACCATCAATAAGACCAGTGTTATGGGCCAGAACATTGGTTCACTATCAGTGGTCAAAATAGGTGAACACATATTGGATGTTGTAAATAAATTTATGCACCAACAACCTGTCACTTGAGCCGGAACTGAATACCTGTATTGGTAAAACATCAGCTTTCATGAGCATGCCGAGCAAACTGATGTAGAACAGCAAACTGACCATTAAGATCAAGGTTAAAGTAGATTCTGCTTGCATCATAAATGCCTCTTTTTACAGCAGTGATTCCTGGATGACATGCTCTACCCAAGAAAAGCACCTCAGCAGCTTCCATTTCTGCTTTTGCAGTGTTCTAGGAATTTCCTGGTGGGAGAAAGTTGTCTACTCTGAGGTCTTGGAACATGGCAATATTCTGAGCATCCATTCTCTCAGTCAGCATCAACTTCGGCTTGGTCATATGCAGAGAACATATGATGGCCCTATACCTAAGGATCTCCAGTATGGAGAACTGTT